AAAGGTGTTCAGCTCCTTTTCTTCGCAAAACAGAAAGGAGAATTCTACTGCCTGAGGGTTATAATCCCCAAGTGCGGCCGAAGGCCGCCTACGCAGAAAGGTGTTCTCTGCAAAATGTGTTCAGCCCCCCCTTCTTCGGCAACACAGAAATAATAATTCTACTAAGTAAAAATTCATATTATAATATTATTCAAAATGCCAGTCTGGTAGCACTAAGTTGTATGTTATTTTGCTATCTTATTCATCGTTTATATGAAAACTTTAACAATAAATTATATAAGAACTATAGGGTTGCTAGAAAAAAGGGGGGTAGTTTTGAAATCAGGGGGTCCTATTCTACCCCCTCTCATCACCCCTTTTTCTAGAATTTGCCGTCCGTCTACTAAAATTTTCCCAAAAAAGTTCATAAAATATGGTTTTCATGATTGATTTTACAAACGCATATCATTACCAAGGGTCGATTTTTCAATGCCAACGTTCTGGCCACAAACGTGCACCCACTTTTCACGAAAATTTGGGCCTTTTGCCAGACAAACGCACAAACTTATTCCAATCGCAAAGCACTTCTTTTCTTATCATAAATTTATAATAAATCAAAATTAAAATGAAAATTGCTGATATCGCATCCCGAAGCCATAGAGACGATGTAAACAAAAGGGAAAAACAAAAAACGCTACGAAAACTTTTTTATGAAATTCGATTATAAATACAACGATGGCGGATTGCGTGATCAGTAATCGTTTTGATTTGATTTTCTTCCATTTTTTCTCTTACGTCCTCACTCGTTAAATTTCCGTTGCGAATAAGGCGATATCAAACCGAAAGTATACTATAGGTAGTACTCATTTGAAATATCGCCGTACAAGTATCGGGTACCCATTATTATCGCGATAGAAAGGCTCGATATTCCAAATATCGATACCAAATTTAAGAAATTAACAGCCTTATACCATTTTCCCACCGCATCCAGAATTACTTTGTTCGCTCCCCCAATTACGATCGCGAATTACCCCATTCCCACGGGCACATTCTTAATTTGATTGGGAAAATTTTAGTAGACGGACCGCAATTTCTAGAAAAAGGGGGGATGAGGGGGGTAGAATAGGACCCCCTGATTTCAAAAATACCCCCCTTTTTTCTAGCAACCCTATGGTTGTTATATAATTTTTTGTTAAAGTTTAAACGATGAATATGTTAGCAAAATAACATTAAACTTGGTGCTGCCAGACTGGAATTTTGAATAATAAAAGCGGATTTTTAATTCGGAATTTTCACTTAGTAGAATTCTCCTCTCTGCTAGGAATGTTCGATATCCTATCGATTTTGCTGAATATCGATATTTCATGGCACGATAATCGATTTTTTGAAGCCTTATTTCAAGGTCGATATATCGAAGACATCGATACTTTACCCGCAATATCGATATTTAAGTTGAAATTTATTTTTGATCTACAAAAAAGTGTATGGGAAAATACTAAAGTAGGTTTAATGAACAGATTGTGTGATTTATTTAGCTCTTAGGTTTGACAAACCGCTTGAGTCGACCAGCATGCCGTTTTAATCCTCAGTAAATATACAAGATGGAAATAACACAATTTGTTGAGTTCATAACCAGGTCTAATATTCTATTCAATTGGGAGTAGGATTCTCAAGACCTATTTTTCCGATATCGATATTGTTCAGCCCGGTATATCACCATATCGATTTTACATGCAATGAATTAAATCGGTTCGTGATATCGATACTTTCTTAAATATCGAACATTCCTACTTTCTGGGTAGGAGGCATTCGGCCGCGCTTTAAGCTGATGCCACAAAACTTTTGCTTCGCTTTACGTGACAGATTCGCTTTGACAGATAAGATGAATTATATGAAAATGCACAAAGCATAGATCGTTGAAGCTGCAGCGCGAAGCGAACAGATGGTTAACTCCCATCTTTTTGCGCGCTTTGACAATCAGCCGGTTGTATATTTATTTTGGTTCGTCCAATTAGAGTTTTCATGCAGAAACATAAAACTTAATTACATTGCTAATAATTTTAAAGCAAAATATATAAAATTCACAGGAATTTTGACGAGTAAAAAAGCAGTACAAAATGGTTTTCTTGTCGTTCATTGTGGCATACCTTTTGCGTCTGGCGCTTTGCTGGCAAAGTTATAAATGTCACGCAAAACTACAAATTTTTTCTCTGGCATCAGCTTTAGAATTATAACCCTTACCAAAAAGAATTCTCCTTTTGGTGTGCACCATCTGGGTCTACCGCCCCAGTGATGTAGTCTTGGGAAATGATAAGGTAACTAGAATTCTCTTTCTGTGTGGTAAACCTGGGGCTGCCGCACCAGTGATGTCTATTATGGTTATGATCAGGACTAAGACCCCTATCGATCCCAATATAAATTTTTCCAATCAGAGAAATGTACGTATTAAGCATTGCCTTCTTTGTATGTATTGTTTTGTATAATATGGCAACACATGTTATGTGTCAGTTTGCAACCATGTGTTATGGGTGCAATTCAATGTAATTTAGAAGTCAATAAAAGTTGAACTAAAGTGGTTTATATACAAGATAAAATAAAATAAAAGTGTGTAAAGTATTAAGTACAGTGTTATGTGCATTAATATATATGAAAGTATGTGACAAATGCACTTTTTGTTAAGGAAATCAAGTGGAACGACTTAAGAAATTTTAACAACAAATAACTTATAAACAATGATATTGTTTATAATTTTTAGGTATACATGGTTTAGAGGATACCACCCTTATCATCCTGACCTAGTTTCATTTGTTAATTCCACCTGGTTTTCTTAAAACACAAGGTGCGGCTGACTACTAAAGCCCACCCATTTGATTCGACAGTTATATGTCTGTGTTTTGGTTTTGTTTTTCTTCGCTGCAAAATTGTTTGCAAAACGTAGGTTCTTCGTAAAAATTATACGGCTTTCCCACGGCACCCCCAATTACGTAATTCGCTCTCTAAATCGTAATTCGCACTCCATTTACCCTTCGAGTTACGTAATTCGCAATACACAATTTTGAGAGCGAATTACCTCATTTGTTGGTAATTCAGATCCAAGTACCATTCGAATTACGAACAAATCGGTGTCGTCTCTAATTTTTATCGGAAATTTATCGAATTAGTTCACAAATCAAAACATTCAAATTTTTGAGTACGGAAAGTTAAGTTTATCAATAGGGGTGCAAAGCCCTTGCATGGTGCACAGATTGCACGGATTGCACGGTAAAAACCGGTTTTCGTATGGGACAGCTTTGCAAACCGTGCAATCCGTGCACCGTGCAAGGGCTTTGCAAGACTCAGAGAATGCCCCTAATGTGCGTATCGCTAATTTAGTACAGAAACTTATACATTTTTAGGAAGAACCTACATTTTGCATCAATTTTGCAGCGAAAAAAAAAAACAAAAACAATACACAGAGAGAGAGAACTGTCAAATCGGATTAAGAATGTGCCCGTGGAAATAGGGTAATTCGCGATTATAATTTGGGGAGCGAACAAAGCAATTCTGGATGGCGTGGGAAAATGGTATTATACTGTATCACGAACGATATGAACATACGTCTGCAGACGACAACATTTCTGAATGCGATTTTATTTCTCTATTGCCTTCGTCTTGCCTTTCATATATGTATTACGTTGCAATGGGCTCGGTTGCGTTTAAACCGGCTAGAGTAATGTCGCCGGACTAATTTTTGAAGAATTCCCCTGCAGACGAATAAATTATTAAAAATTACTTCAAAAATAATATTAACAAAACTTCAAATACTTCGTTCGGTATCGAAATTCAAATACTTCGTATCGTATCGAAATTCGTGTCCCTAATAAGGCGATTTTACCATACACAACGCCGGAGGTTTGATCAAACCTCAACTTGGTGGCCAGAAAATCAAAAAAATAAAATTTTTGTTAAAATTTCCCCCAAGTGGCATGGAAAACCTTCTAACACCCCAATACACAACACAAATAGCTTAAAGCAAAATGATATTTCGCTTGGTATCTTGTGTGGTGTATTTCGCTTTTGAATGACACTATGCATAGTGTCAAGGTAGCAACATATGCTTTTTGTATTAAAAAACGAAAGCTATACATTTTTTCTTTACAAATTTTTAAGTCAAAAGCTACAAATAATGGCATAGTAACATATTGGATATCTCAGTTCTATCGACTTAGTGTATGGTGTCAAGTTAGCACTACATACCATTTTTTCTTAAAAAACGAGAGCTACAAATTTTTTCTTTCCACAACAAATTTACAACAACAACACTACAATTAATGCCGTAGTTAACTATTCCAATTTCGAAAAGTGTAGTGCTAACTTGACACACGTTATATAATTAGTGTATGTAGGTAACACAGGGCAACACCGATTTTGATGCGGCAAATGCTAAAGCTGTTTTTGATAGGCTTTTTTGTGCTGATTAAGAATCCGTAAGTATAAAGTTTCCATCAGCTCCAGATTTTGAGAAAAACGTGGCGAAAGTGTCTAAAAATCGGGTTTTTTGCAATATTTGAGAAGCTCTAGCAATGAAACAAAAGGTGATAGAACCTTCCACTTAGGCATAAATTAAAGCTAGCACTACAGACTACTATCCTTGAATGTACTATTTTTGCACCTTGCCCTGATGGTCCCCTATACTCATTTACTTTTTATTGTCTAACAATAAAATAAAAAATACTAGAAAATTATGCAATTGATAAAAAATAATGGTGCAAAAATCAGTGTTAGCTGTTCATTAAATGACTATAGGTACGGTGACCATATTTATGAGAGCCGAATACGGGGTAAAAAATTATTTTGCACAACGGCTTACAGATCTTAAAGTCTTATTCAATGATTCTAGATGTATTAACTCTGAAAGAGTATCCTTTTAGTATCATCACAAATTTGTAGGATAATTTTCTCGATATTTTTACCCCGTAAAATTTGTTTAAAAAGATGCGTTAAATTTTAGTATAATAAAGTGCTATTTTATGTCGCTAAGGCTTGCGATTAATTTTTGGCAATATTTTTTTTGTTGACGCATTTTTGCATACAAAGTATGTTTGACCGTTTTTTTTTTAAACAGAAGCAAATGAGCAGCACTATCCAGTCGCACTTTATTATACTCAGTTTTATTGAGTTACAAAACTGCTAACCAAATTTGTTTCTAGGACTCTAATAAAAAGTTTGAAATTGTGGTGAAACACACAAAGTTTGGTATTATATGGTTTCTGTTAGGAAAAGAGCTTTACTTTCATAAAATAAATAATAAACTAAGGAGAAATAACTAAAACTTATTATTATTATTAAACTTAATCAAGTCCCAATTTCTATTTTGGTCACTGTATGTATTCCTCGATTCGAATCACAGGCAAACAGATTAGAAAATAATAACTGTTTATGGAGAAAATTACGACCATATACCAACATCACTTAAAACTCGTTCAAAACACCGAATACGGGACAAATACAGGACATTAAAAGAAATACAGAACATTTGGCGTCCCGTATAAAATAAATAAATTACCTGGTCATTGGGTCCAAAAATAGGACTGTCCCGTATTATACAGGACGGATGGTCAACGTAACTATAGGTGACCTTAGGGTCAAGGTGGAGGAATGGTATTTTCAGAGATTGAAGTCAGAAGTCCAAACCTTCATTTAAGCCTAAGTGGAAGGTACTATCACCTTTTGCTTAATTGCGTTAAGTACTCAAACTTCCTAAAATCAGTTATTCCTGTTCAAAATAGTGAATGGATTATAAGTGACCATCAAGCAAAGGTGCGGGAATTTTCAAGGACAGTATTCGAGATTTTTAGCTTTAATCAAAGCCTAAGTGGAAGGTTCTTCCACCCTTTGTTTCTTTGCTAGAGCTTCTCAAATATTTAAAAAAAAACGCGATTTTTTGACACTTTGGCCTCGTTTTTCTTAAAATCTGGAGCTGGTGGAAACTTTATTCTTACGGACTCGTAAGCAGCACACAAAAGTTCGGCAAAAAAATCGTTAACAATTGCTGCATCAAATGTTTTCCCATTTTAGTTGGCCTGTGTTATAAGTATTGTTAAATAGTCAATCCCCGCATGTTTGCGCCGCCTTCAAACACCTTTCGAACTGTAAAACAATGACTCGATTCTATTCTACGCATATCTATAATACGGGTATCGGCGCCACCTATCGGAAAAATTAAAACTTTGTGCACTCCATCTTCTAAACACCTTTCCAAAAAAGCAGCACCCATTCGAATCGGTTATGAAACAGGGGAAAATTCTTCCCAATTGCTTCATGCTCCCAATGAATTTCACAATTATCCGAAATTTTCCAAGCATTCGTCGAAAAAAATTAAAATTTTTCGCGTTCTTCCGAATTTTTCCGAGAGTTTTCCCCTTAGAATTTTCTATTTTTCCGATCGAATGCCATTCCGAAGGAATTGCACACAAAATTCCATTAAAAAAAAATCAATTTTCGATTTTTCCAATTTCCCCACTTTCCCTGAGTGTTTCCCAAAATTTTCTTTCGTAAAAACCTTGGCAATAAAAAAAATAAAATCTAATCCTCTTCGAAACTATGCACTTTTAAATTTTTCTTGCTTCCTCTATCAAAATATAAATTTTCATAAAAAGTGGACTTATCAAATGTTCACTGTAAGCTAACGATATGTAAACTGTTTTTAATCCAACAGCAGGGATTACAAGCCATTGGCGGCTGTGCCGTAAACAAGCCTACGTATATTTTTTATTTCAATCATATTTCCATTGTATGTCAAACTCATTTTTCGAATTCCACTTGGTTTTAAAAAAACTGCATTGGCAAATTTTACTCAAAGATTGATGCATCTTTTTCAATTTCAGACTGATTTATGCGGAATTAAATGGCGTAAATTCGTTAACGGTGAAAGAGTAAATGCGTCCAGTGATCCATTGGATGATCCCATCCTGCGCTCCTATTCACGATGTATGCAAGCTGACATTCTCTGTGTGTGGCGGCGCATACAGTCCACCAAGCAGGAGAATTCGGATCCTAATGCGCTTTTTGAGATTAGCTCGTCGAAAGTGCATCCGCCACTTTCGTTGGCCGCCGCCAAAGAATTATGGATATTTTGGTATGGAGAAGAGCCAGATCTAGGCGAATTGGTAGATGCGGAATTGTTGAAAGTAGCCGGTAAGTAATAGAACTATTTATCAATGTATATTTTATAATAAAAATTCCATAATTTGGGTATTCTATGAGTGAGTGAACCTTTGTGTCCAATTATAAAGTTACTTTTTAAATATATACTTCTATGCAGTTAAATCAGTACTCAATACACTAAGTTAACGTAATTTAGGAAGGAAAAATTAGTTATATTATTTTTCACTCCGGATAAATTAAAAGCTCGAACCTTTGAAAACTAATTGAATGTGAATATATATTTAAATATAGTATGCTGCAAAACCAAGTGTTTATAAAATTATTATTATTTTTTTTTTGAAGTGGTTCACAACCGTCTCGACTTTCCTTCGTCCCAACGCATTACCATTGCATCTAAGAAAATTGAGCATTTTATTTATACTAGGAGTGCCAGTTACTGTCGAAATTCGACCGTTCTCCCCTTCCCCTAACTTAACAAAGTTCGATATCTCGACTAATTTCGATAACTGTGCGTTTCAAGGCACGATAATTTTGGATAACTCCAAAATGTATAGGTATATCTCTATATACATCGGTAACTAGAAAAACTTTGGATACCTCTATAAATTTGGATAACTAGGTTAATTTTAATACCTCCATATTTTTCGAAAGCTGCCGACTAATTTCTCTGGAAGCAGTGATAACATGATGAACTTATATAACCTTGAAATTTCGATAACTCTATACATTTTGAAAACTTCAAAAATTTCGATTCGATGATTAATGTATCGATCATTATGTCTATAAAATATTGATTATTATACCGATAACAATGTCGAATATTATATCGATGACAAAATCGATTATTCTGTCGATAACAATATCGATCTTCATCCTCGTCTTTTTCGTCATATTTATCTTTATTTTTTGCATATTCCCTTTCACCTTTACCTTAAAGTGTTTCAGTTACTCTAATTCTTATGTAGTTTTGCCTTATTTTTTATCTTAATCGTTATCATTTATTTCTCCATCATCACATTTATCTTTATTACAAAGTTTAATTTTAAATACGATGTAAACCAAATGCGAAAACAGTTCAAATTATACAGGTTGCAACAACAACTATACACAAATACGCAAATTTTCAAACGACGATTTCGGCTGTAATTTTCAACAAATTTTGAAACCATAAAAGCTATGCTCATCTACAGAAAAATACCTTTCCAATGGTGTTATTGGTTTTACATTGGTTTAGCATTTACAAGTTTTTTTAGACAAAAAAATATACACATTGCCACACATTTAGTATATTCAAGGCTTTTCTTCGCGAAAATCGAATGAAAATGCTGCCAGAAAACTTCAAAATGCATCTTGTGGTTCAGTGTTACTACAACTATACAGATTAAAGTTTTATGAGTTAGAAACCCGAAAGGATAAAATAGTCAAAGATTCAAAGTACAAATTTTTCATATAATGAAACTAGTTCATAGTTTTTCTCTTTTTACTTGTAATATAAACATTTCTAAAATAAATGTATTTTTTGATTGTTCTTCGTATTTTCTGCCCTTTTAGTGCCTTATTTTGGTTTTTTTTTTTGCAATACCTAGTGCCTTTTCCTGCCTTTTTCGCTATTTTGTTTTGCCTTTTTTTGCCTTTTTTGTAACACCTAGTGCCTTTTCCAGCCTATTTCGTTATTTTATTTTGCCTTTTTTATAGGTTTTTAGCTCCTAAAAATCCGTTCCCTGGTTATTACTTTGAGGTTTTTTCTGAAACTTCATAACTAGAGATTATATTTTTACCATATACGCGGGAATGCTGAAAAGTTTTGAGTCTATGGTAATAAAAAAGCTGATAGATATAGGCGATTCCACCGTCACGGGTTGGACGTTTGTACAGACAATATTTTCCCTCTTGTTTAAATTTAAGTATAAAGTACTCAACAATTGCACATTTTGATAAAGCTACACCTAATTGACTATTATGTATATGAGTTATTACAAAATACGAAAAAATTCCAGCTTACTTTTATATGGAAATACGGAAACTCTGCGAATTTATTTCACTTTTCTGTGTGAACTTGATGTCTTATAATAAAACAAAGAACCAGGAATACAAACAAAGCAAAAACCACAAAAAAATGATGACTTTATTACACAAAAAATCCGAAATTCCACTGCCACCGGTGGGGCAACGTTTGTCACGGGTAGGACACGTATGAATTTTTATATGAAAGGGAGGTTTTAGTGTGGTCCATATATACAGATTAGTTATTAAAAAATATAAGAAGCCAAGTAGGGGTTAAATTCACTCACGTTTTATCTTAGGATGGTGCCTTTTACTTATATAGAAGAAAATGCTTAGCACCGTCAGCCAAAAAAATTATTAAAAATGAACGCGATTTCCTAGCGTCTTGAAATTTTCACTTTTACCTACTTAAATTTAATGGACTATAAAACTGCATCCATAAAAATTCTGAGCAAAAAGTTTAAAATTTTTTGGTGTAATTGTTAAAGTTTGTTGAATTTATGTGGTTCTGGTTAGGTTATGTGCCAGACTTTTATAAAAAAAAAAAAAACTAAACATTAGATTAACAGAATAAGAAACCAAAACTGGTCAAACTGTAACTTAACTTAATCAGCTGACCACAAGGGTATATAGATAATGGACGAGTCCGCGCATCCCTCCCTCCTCCTCTGCGTCCACCTTAACAAACAAATAAAGGTTATCAGCCCTGTAAACCTACCTCTGATAACTGTCCCGCGGATAGCTGTCACGGGTGGGACATGCCTCTCTGTTGAATTATTCTTATCTAACCACGTGAAAACGACGGTGAATATTTGCAATGAATTTCTAACATTATGTAACAAACACGAAACACAACCTCAACTTCTGCAATTAAATATAACAACTTTTAGCTTTTTTTGTCACTGGTGGGACAAGACCAATACTGCTTAATAATAACTAATAGTATAGATAAAGCAGTCATACATTTTAATATAAATATAACACAATTTTATTAAAAGCAGATACTATATATTTTTCTTACCAAACGCTTGAATTATGAATCGCAAATTATTTGACAGTGCATTCAATACAACCTACTTTAAACTCAATCAAAAAATTTACTTAGAACTTGATTTCAAAACGTAGAAAAAGTAATAAAAATGCATTTAAAGCTTTAATTTGTTATTTTTTGGTTAATTCCAGATTTTTTCAAATATCTTATCCACACGTTTGTTAGTTTTATAAAGAAAATAATTTTTGCACTGAGGTCCACTTTCCCATGGAACCTCCCATACAAATTTTATTTTTATATATAATCTACCTCTACTTCGGTGCACTTCTTATATTTATCATGACGGGGTTTTAACCCATTGGAAAAGTATTCACCGTCTTTGTCTTCGAAATGCTCGTCTACAGCAGCCTTCATTTATTTTCCATTCGAAAATCTTCGTCCTCGGAGGTTTTTCTTCAAATTGGAGAACAGTAATCAATGGGGCCAGGTCTAGATTGCATGGTGGGTGGTTGATTTCTTCAAATTCAGTCTCGGCCAGGACCCGTCTTGCAACTCCCGCAGGGGGAACGGGTGAATTGTCTTGCAAAAAACGTTTGTCAACAATGTGACTTAATAGTCTCCGTTCATTGTATTTTTTTTTAGGAAGATAGTCGATGAACAGAATACCTTCACAAACCCAAAAAACAGTGGCCATGGGCTTGGATCCTGATCTTTCCACTTTGAATGTCCGTGGTGGCTTTTCTTCCTTTTCTATCCACTACATATACCCTGGATCATACTGCCGGAAACGCGTTTCTTCTACAGAGACAATGTAAGAAAAATCTCGAGTGAGCATTTTCGACATCCATCGCGTCGTCGATTCTTTCTTTGCTAATGCCTATGGTTTCAGCTATCTGTCACAACTTGATTCGCCGACCCTCTGGAACAAGTTTTTTGACTTCATCTTCCAGAAAATCCCTGCCATGCTTGATTCTGGGCGCCAATGTTTGATGGTAGCAAATGAAGGTCCAGACCTCCCATACACTGCAGACATTTCTTTTAATATTTCTGTCGGCGTTTTGTTCTTGTAAAAAATTTGAACGGCTCGTAGAGGTCCTTCCCTATTCTGACGGACCTGGTGGTATTACTAAACGTCATTCTAAACAGTCGTATTAGTTTCAAGGGATACCAAATTCAGGCATCGCGGCATAAATTCAACTTCTATTCATGCCACGAAAGCGGATTTGAAAACCACACTGATCAATCAATCACTGAGGATCAATCATTTCGTTGACGACGGGCTTCAGCCTTTCACACAATACGCTTGATAAGACCTTGTATCCTATTCTTAGAAGACTGATCCCGCGGTATTCGCGGGCATGCGTTCATCTGACAATATTATGACATCGGTCGCCATGGTGTGATTACATGAGTTCGCACTGGTCTTGAAACCTTTCGCAAGACGCCTAACTCTCTGGTAACATTTTCGAGCGTTTTAGTTTTTTAATTTTTTGGTGCACCAGAACCAGAAACTTCATCCTTTAATATCCTTGGAAACTTCCAATATTTATTTTTGAAAAAAATATATGTCAAGGACTAATAAGTAATGTGGTAATACATCCTCGAATTTCGTCCTTCTAACTTTATTAGTTTTAGATAAAAAAAATTTACACTTCTCTTTATAGGATATTGATAGTTACAATATACATAAATGAAGATACTGGAATGATTACACTGTACAGCACTCGACAGGGTATGGGACCAGTCCAATTTTTTTAGGAGATTGAGTCATAGGTAAAAAAGTGATTTCACCATTTTTCGAAGTTAGCCTCCGAAATCGAGATATGGGTCTTCGAAGTTCGAAATAGGACCTTTGGTAAAAAATTATTTTTTATGATTATATGTAAATAACTAAAAAACTTAAAATGTAGACGTAGTCCGCCATTTGCTCTTATTTAAATGGTATATAACTATTTTACAGGTGCTATAAGGGGTCAAAGGTGGGGTCTTCGACAAAACTAAAAACCTTATATTTCAAACAATTTTGAATTGATTT